TGAGGGTGTGGGATGGGTGTGGATGTGAGGGTGTGGGATGGGTGTGGGTAGCAGTTGAAGAGACATACGACGCACCCACATCGAGACGGACACCCACACCCACACCCACCCCCACACCCTCTGTAATACGGATGTCTATCATGGGGCCTGTCTGTAAGGGGGGGGGGGGGGGGTATGTGTGTAATTGGGGCTTCCATTGCTCTAAGTGACTGTAAGGGAGAGCCGGAATACGTCGACTTAAAACTTACACTCACATATAAAATATGTGAGCTCCACAAAACAATTTTTTAAATATTAAATATTTTCGCTTTTTTTTAATTAGCTAATTAATTAATTTGTTTGTAACGATCTATAATGGAGGAGCTCGATGCCATGGAAATATATCCAATAATGTATGGTTATCCGCCATATGGTTGCTAAGGAGACATAGGAAAGCAGCCAGTTCTTATTATCCCCCGTTGCTAGGTAAATGTGCCCAATGACCTTCGAACCCGGTTGCTAAGGTCTGTAATGGGACCTGCGTTGCTAAGTGTGGGGGGAGGGGGGGGGGAAGGGGGGGGGGGGGGATGGAACCGCAAAACCTCGATTTAAAACTTACACACTATTTTCTTCGAAAATATACGTGAGTTCCACAAAATGCAAAAGAAGGTATTGCAGTTGTTGATGGTCCGCTTTCGACAAAAGGTATTCCTGCACTTGTGCAACCACGAGGAATCATCGTTGACCAACTGGGTAGGATCTATGTAACAGTTAATAATAAACTTGGCATAATGTGTTTCACTGATGGAACTGCAGAAAATGTTGTTATTGGCAGAAATGATTCAGAAGGGCAGCCAACTTCACTAAGTGGTTCACACAGTCTTACCTTCGATCGAAATGGCAATCTCTACGCAGCTGATTTATATAACTGTCGATTTCAACGATACGATTTCGATCAAACTTTGTGTTCTTAATTATGCAAAGACAATACTCTAAAAATAGTTATTTTTGCTGGCTTTACCAATACCAAGGGTATGGGTGCTAACAGACCTCAGCGCATCCACGTGTACACCCAATTTGATTTTTGCCTGAATCATATAATTATATTTTATGTAACTCTCTGACCGTAACTGTTCCGTGTTGACTTAACCATCGTGTTTAATAAACTATTCCAAAGTCTCTACGACTGATTATGTCGACTTCTGGTTTAAGATCGAATTTCTGCTTGTTTTAGACTCAAATATATGAAACAACAGGTTTCAAGCCCCTAAACTGTCTCTAATGGCACAAAGAAATCTTAAGCCAGAAAGATATGTATATAGATCGTTCTAGTTTTTCGTGCTCATTCAGAACATGACCTCATTAGTGTGGAAAAAAATGAAAAATATGGTCAAATCATGAAAAAACCGAGACTGTACCTGATATATCGAAGGGTGTGGGTATGGATGGATTTGGGTGTGTGCTAGTCTTCCATTCATTCATACGCACACCCACATCCCATTTATATGCGAATTCGACCAAATCCACATGCCATACTTTGTATGACGAAATTACGACAGCTTCCGAGGGTTAATAGATCATGTATGACAATGTTTCATTTCTCAACGAATAAAAGAGATAGTTCAAAAACCAAACATAGCTTTTTTTTTGTCGATAGATGTTGGTAATAAAGGAGTAAAATGAATCGTTGAAATAACTATCTTTGGGTAGTTGACATATTTAGAAGATAATCCTCCGAATATTGTCAGATCTATCTCATGAAATACTTTACTGCCTAGTCATTTTATCTTACAGAGCAGGTTAAAATTGTTTATTTTATCATGTAGTCTGATTAACAATTACAAATAAAATATTTTGGAAAGACAAGCAACGCTAAATACACGAAAATGTAGCTGAATTTTCCATGTATCAGAAATATATCAATTTTAGTGTCAAATTTTTTTTTCAATTCCATTTTCAATAGAAAAAGTAGTTTAGAAAAATAAAAAATCTTACTTTTATGAGCAACTCGACGAGTTCTATCCAATCATATTAAACTTATTCGAAAAAAACAATTTGGCTTCAAATTCGAATTGCCAGCAACTTACAACTTTCCTGATACGGAACAATTGATAGTTCATTTACGAATCAATAAAAAATGTTTACAAGCAAGGTAAACCTCTATTTATTCTATATATATGTCATAGATACACAAAAAAGAAGCAAGGGATGATTAATTGATACGATGAAAGCGTCACTAACGTAACCAAAAAAATTAAGACAAATAAACAAGAAGAAAATTAATGTAAAGCAAATATCATGACACTCTATTTGATTTCTAAGTCAGTCTTGACTGCGGAAAGCGCGCTTTGTTGCTGGATAGTCACTATTGGTTAATGAGATAATGCTTAAGAAGTCATATGCTTGTCTTTACGTTCTGTAGTAGCATTTTGTATAATTGTGATTGGTCTAATGCGAATATTGCGACGATCGAAACACTTATTTATCAATGTGCTTACAATGGAATATAATTCATGTCGAAATATACGTGACACTAATACGTATAAGTAAAATGCTGACACAGGAAACAGATAAGCACACATTTCTGTTGCAGTAAATGTAAATTTTTCAATAGCTAACCGATCGGCTGACTTATTTGATACATTGTTGGCTATAGCTCCGTACATTGTTCGAGCGAATTGAGGTATTTGAACAATACAATAGAAAGTGACTTGTACAAACAACATGACTAATGCTTGTTGATCACGAATACGTTGAGCACTTGAATTAGCATTCAATCGAGCGGTAGCATTATTAGGATTGGTCTGTTTTCCACAGAGATTTCGTTTCGTTGCAAGATTATATCGAATGAGTATTGCAGTTGTAATCATGATTGTTGCCGGAAGAATACCACCCATAGTTATAGTATAGATACTATGATAGAATGCTATTGATCCGCTATATGAAAGGGTGCAAATATTAGCCACTGAGTTTATCTTATAATATATAATCATATGAATGGGTAAGATAAGCCAAACAACAATCGTGTATGCAATCGTATAACGTGCAATATGTACTTGGGCAAATTTTCGTATGCGAGAACTTCTTGGAGTTAATGCATATCGATCGATACAAGCAACAGCTACTAACCAACGTCCCATCATGACAGTTGATTGCACTATATAGAGACGTGACTCACAAAAAGCACGTATTGTTGTCATCGGATCGGGATGATCAAGTGCATAGAGATTTGCAGCAGAACCAAAACATATAAGTATGAATAAAACTACTGAAGCTGCCAATAAGTCTATAGAAAACAAGAAATTTATGATTTAACATTTTTCAATATCTTCATCAAAGAATATGTTTGAAGATTATAATTATTTACTAAGAAACAAGACTTTAATTGAAAAATTCGAAAGCATATCCCATATTGAAAAGATATCTATCCATGGAAAATTATATCGTTAATCAAAAATCGTTACTGATTTCAACAATCAGTAGAACAGTCATTTAAAAAAAATAGTTCATCGATAAAATTGATTCTTATTGTGATATATTAATAATATAGGTAAGCTAATCTAAATAATGTATACAATTTCTCAAAATACTATGTAACGTTTCGTAACGTCAAATAATGATTTCTAATGATTTCAGGAAAATATATGTACTCTCGAAAAACTTCGCTGCGTGTACGGATGTATTCACATGGCGTTACAAGAATATATGTGTCACATGTATAGAGGAAACTCTCTGAGTTGAAGCATTACAAAATGTAACTGTATTTGTGTACCCCTCAAATGATACTTACAATTGCAGCATGATGTTATGCGAAATTGTCGTCGTGACAAAATAATAATATTGAGTAAACAGCCTGGAACACCAAATATGAGCCATGACGAATAACGATAACGAATTAATTGTAGTCCGGCACTGGCAAGCAATGTTGGTAGTTCTGTAGGCATTTTTATGAAAATGAATAAATTCTCTTAGTCCTTCCGCTTCCTTCTTGTTTTAAAATCTAAATGTGTAAAAAAAAAACTTTATCAACGCAACTTATGTATTTCATTCTAACCTCGGTAAACCAATTAAAATTTGTAAAATGAAAACTTTCTTAAAGATTATACTTGTTCTTTGAAACTAATTGATCATTAAAGAAAAAATCTGCCTTATTTATTTCCACACTTTCAAAAGTTATTTATTAGTTTCTTCGTCACTCTCTTTCACATTTACACTATTATTTGTTTTGTTTTCATTTTTTTAATGATTTAATATAATTATCTTTTTGTTCTAATCAGTAATGGATTGTCAATCTCTGTAATGAGATGAAAGGAACCGCAAAAACTCGCTTTTAAACTTACACTCGATATTGTCTTCGAAAATGTATGTCAATTGCGAAAAGTAATCTTGATAAGTTGTATATTTACTATGTGAAGATACATTGACGTCTGTTTATACGAAAGAAGTGTCAGATTTCATCATAGGTTTATAAATAGATATATAACAGAATACTGAAAACAACTTTTAATAAAATGCTGGAATTTGAAATATAGAAATATCAGCTTGTCAAAAAAAAATCTAATGTCTACCATAGGCGGATCTGTTTTAGAAGATGAAGAAAAATGAAATACGTTGTTATATCTCTTGATAAATTTAACTAATATAAATAGTAATGATGTAAGAAACACCGAAGTTCTGTAATTTTATCTAATCTTCATGTAAATGTTACATAGATCAATTTTCAATTAAGAACGTCATAAGAGTAATAATGATGAAAAAGAAAATATCATCATAAAAACATATTTTATGCAAAGTGACTTGTTTAGAGTAAACAAAGATAGTTAGAAAAATAAAGTTTTCATGTTTGAGACACATAGGTTAGTGTTCGAAATCAATATTTGAATAATTTTCTGAAAATAGTCTTTATTTGAAAGTTATATCGAAGTGCGTAAAATAATTATGTTTCATATTTCACTATTTCCTATTGATTCATATAGCATAGTGATGCAAAAGAAATGCATTGCATTCCATATTGAAGTCCAGATATTTTGAAATATCAACGAAATATAAAGAGGAAAATTCAAATCAAGAAAAAATCTTTTCTTTTAATTATGTAGTGAATTGAAGAAGGACAGAATTGAGAATAAACAAGATGCAGCATCATTTAATTCATGTGTTAGACTTTTTAAAGGCATTTCATTTTTAATCTAGATTTTGTTTCCTATATTAAATAATATTCATTAGAATGCGTCAAAGATTAATGGAAGTAAGTGGAGCTCACAAGCATATATTATTAGGTAGAAAAACAATGACAGTGAATCTTACCATGACACTTCATTAAAACCAAAGGGGTAATTTAATTATTTGACCTTCTGATACGAAAGCCTTTTAAGCATACATCATCAATATAATTTCATCAAACAAAAATTATTTTTATTCATTAAGATTTATTTCTTCAATTAGAGTTTTTTTTTCTTTTTACTGGAACATATAAATCATTATAGAATGATCGTAATTAATGTACATATTCTAAAGCATCCATAATGGCTTATATACACAATATAAGAAGAAATGACAAGTAGAATTGTACATTATTATGTATAACATCCATTCGATCTAGAGTGTTACAAAGTAGTCGTCAATGTTTCAAACGATTGTATGTTTCAATTCAATCTAACCTCGTTTCAAATAAATCCGAGTACAGTTACTGAAATCAATCAACTTGTGTCACAATATAGAAGAAAAATTACATTGGTTTTCATTAAGTTCTATACATTTCTATCGAGTACTTTATTTATGTATCATGTATTGAGCGAATACTTCAGATGCATACGTTTGGCTGTGGTTGTGGGCGTGGGTGTGGGTGTTGTGATGGATGAAACGAAGGGCACACCCACACCCAAAAGTGCGGACTGGATTTTTTAGCATTCCTTTGTTTACACTTTCTCCCTTCATATTGTCACTCACTATGCAGACACGAACGAAAGAAAAAAAACCGATGGTAACAATAATAAAAATACATTAGTGTGTGTATTGTTTTTGTTTGTTTGTTCTTTGTTAATGTACTTTTTTGTTGATTTTTCTTGTTTGTCACAGTTACACTCCTCAGAAGAAACCCAACAGAATCATAATGGAATCAACGTTATAGACAATTTTTTGTTCGCGGAATAAACTTCTGTATTTGCACAAAGGCATCAGGCATGCATTACGATGACGATGTTTTTTTTTGCTACGTTTGAATTAAAAAAAGTGTTCGCGTCTTCAATATCGCTGCCGATTCGTAGACTCTAAGTTGTCTATCAATGTATGATAAAGTAGCAAATACAAGATTCATGCCTATTAAATGAATGTTCATTATTCATAAAAAATTTTGAAACTAAGAACATGTTAAGAAAATACATGCGAGAAGTTTCATTATGGGTTGAGTGTGGGTGTGAGTGGATGTGCTTATGAATATACTCTACACTCACCCACACCCACCCCACATCCACACCCAATAACGGTGTGGGTGTGGGTAGGGATGTTGAGAATAGGACACACGCCCACTTCAACCCACATCCCATGATGCTTAACGAAGTTTTATTCGCTCTATGACTATAAACTGCAAAATAATCCGTATATGTGAATGGTTGGTGAATTTGCTAAGATAGATATATCAATATTTGTATGAGATTTCTTCTGTACAACATAAGTCAGAACAGAACGTTGATAAATAATGTGAATGATTATCTTTGAATTCATAATGACTCACGGTAAGTTCGTTCTAGTCACATGTCTTTAAATGCGGAACACAGCGCGACGGATAGTCACCTGTTGTTCTCATTCTGATGTCTCTATCATTGTGTAAGTAAATGAGTACCTATAAATTCATCAATAAATTTTCGAAATCTTTGCAGGTTCAGACTTTTTTTATTATAAATCTTTCAAGGAGTTCTTCGCGATTTTTTAAAGATCCATAAAGACTCGTATGTGTAAACTATATAAAAGAGAAACGGAAACTTCCTACCAAATAATGCAAAGCCGATCTCTTGAACTATCATGATTAAAAAATGGTACACATTTTCATGGAAGTAGTGCCACTACTTTTTCTCAACAGGATAGTTTACGAATATGTATGACGAAAAGAGTAGTTATCTAATTCGAGTTCGAATATAAATAAAATTTTCGAAAATATCTCATCACACAACAGGCCAAAGTGAAGAATAAAATTTCACCTAAATCATATATTCTAAAACATATGAGGCTTCCATATAACTACGAAAAAAAGTAAAAGCTAAAATTTCACCTCAATTATAAATTATACATTGGTCAAAACCTTCATATAAATACAACAATAAGCAACAGATGACATTTTCTTTTACTTATAAATAACAAGTCAGTCAAGACTTCCAGATAACTACGACAAACAACCAAAAGATGAAATTTTCTCTCGTTTATAAATAACAAGTAACGCTCGTCGCTTCGACTCGCTTCACTCTCGACTCTATGATCAAGCATTTGTGTATTTAAATCGATATTTTTGAAAAAATCGATGGTAATATTAAATGTGTGTCTGTAAGTTATTTGAAAAGTAACTTCCAATTTTTAAATTTTTTATTACTCTCACACAACAAAAGATATCGTCCTGATTTTTTCACCATTTTGAAGCATGAACTATGCCATTTTGTTCTAGATGAAACAAATTAAGCGAGGGTGTGGGTGAAGAGAAGATCAGAATAACATCTACACCCTTACCCCATAACCTACACCCAAACTGTATTTTCAAAATTTTTCAAATAGTCGTTACATCTATTGCGTACTTTATTAGATTTGCTCATATAGTTACCTTGAATCAGTCTACACTAACTGAAATTTAATGTAACAAATTTTTATTCATGTTTTTTTTTCTCTATTTTTAATAAATATAATAAAAGTTTCTAGTCTCTTGTTATTATGGACTCGATCTTATTTCAACGGGTAATTTTCAATTGTCTTGATATTTATTATTGCTTTTTGAATTAGCAAATTATAGATTAATCTCACCTCTTGAATAACTTATAAGAAAAAGCAATGTTTTTCTTCGAAAGAATAAGAACATCGACTAATCAATGAATATGACTGATATATGTTCCACTAAAACACTTTTTTTTTTAATTTTAGTAATCGGATTGGTGTTAGAAGCAATTAGAATTGAAATAATGAATAATAAAAATTAAACTGTATCAGGTTGACGTTTCATAATATAGTGATGGTCTTTCCATTCTCCACTAACATAATCACAGTCACCAACTTTGTGAAAACCATAGTAAGAATAGAATTTTTGCGCTTTGAGATTTTGTGATAAGACTCTTAACCATATAGATCGTTTCGGAAAATGTTCTGTGAACCAAGATAAACTAACATTCATCAATTGTGGACCAAAACCATGAGATTGTCGATCACGTCGGACATAGAGACGATGGAGCGCTCCATCTTTATTTGAACAAACATCAGAATGAGGAATATCATCAATAATACAAGGACTAACAGCAGCATAAGCAACAAGTTCACCGTTTGTCTTATCTTCTATAACCCAAACAGCTTGTTTCGAATCATTTATTTTATTGGCAAATCATTGTGGACTTGCTGATGAATGAAAATAAGAATCGAGAAAATTTTCAGGATATGAAATACACAAATCTTCAACAAAGGTCTCTTGAATGGTTCTTTGAGCAAGTTGAGATAGTGCATCAATGTCGGATATATCAGCTCGACGGAGAATAAATTGATTTTCCATCTATCTAAATTGCTTTATGCCAAATTAAATTTAGTTCAAAATCTAGTAAATAAAAAATCTTCAGAAAACCAGTGTAGTATCGATAAAAAAACCTATTGAATATCCATTTAACTCACCCTTTCTAAATGGTCTCTTGTAGGAAAAGATAACATTGTCAATGATCTGTTGTATACTTTAAACATATGATAAGAGAATTTTTCGTTCTTATTATTATTTATTTAAGAGAGAAATGTGGCCTACGAATGTTCTGTAATCATTTTTTCTTTTTTTTTTACGAAATTGACTAGCATAGCTCGTCTACGACTGGGACGCTTTATCATCTGTCGTCTGCAATGTTACCATACCTCAGTCATTTTTGATGATAAACAACTGAAATCGTTCATAGCATTACATGTTTTCAGTATTTACTTCGTCTAATTATAAGTGTAAAGGTTCAAAATTGAATAATACATTTGTTGAAAAACTCTAATTATACTAGAGCAATATTCGACTTGACAAAATTCCTAAAAAAGTACGTTTTTCGAAGATAATTTCCACTGTTAATGTAACCGTGCTCTATTTATATGATAAATGATGTTCAAAACGTGAATGACCCTTATAGATTCACTACTGTGTTTTTCCCCAGTGTTCAATTTTTGTTGTATGGCGATGCATCACCCAATCGAAATAAAAGAAACAGTGAGGTTCTATTATTATCACCTGAAATAGTATGATAAAAACTAGAATTCAAAGAGTTATCACGAACATAAAATGAAATATTCTGAATGAATATTTAAATAAAGTTTGTTAATAGATGTTCCTGTATGCAATTACGTAATCAATCTGGAATGATGTGGGTGTAAATGCGAATACCTGTGTGATGAAGATACCAAGAATACCTACCGGCACACTCCAAAAACGGCATGCATCTACAAGGGTGTGGGTGTGGGTGTGGGTGGGTGT